AAAAAAAAAAATCATTGAGGAAGATTTTGCAAAAGATCATTGTCTTTAGAAGCACCATTTGATCACAGAGTTCCATTTGCAATGAGCATGAACGTTACAGTAGATTGATAGGAACAGCCTATACACAGAAGGCGCAAGGCTGTGCTGTGTGTATGTAGCTTAGCAGGCTTAACGTGACCCCTTGCAATTTTCTAGTGAAACGTGGCCTCGGCCATCCTGTCCTCTTGTTCACCTTCTGGTCCTCCCATTCATTCTGCAACAAAGAGAATACATACAAGAAGCATGCGCATGTCAAGGGGAGGGAGTAGAGTGGCCTCGTAAGGTTCAAAGACTGAACAGCTTCATGTTAGCATGTTTATGTTTGATCCTTAAAATAATCTTTATGTCTCACTGCTCTTCCCATCGCAGATTTACATCATCTCCTGGAGAAAAGGTGTTCCAGGTTAAAATCTCGGCCCCAGAGGAGCAATTCACTAGAGTCGGTGTCCAGGTTTTAGACCGAAAAGATGGGTCCTTCATCGTAAGATATAGAATGTATGCAAGCTACAGAAGTCTGAAGGTAGAAGTTAAATTCCAAGGTGAACATGTGGCCAAATCGCCATATATTTTGCAAGGTAATTTCAAACATATATTTTTTTAAGATTTATTTATGCATACAGACCTGGGGTACAGGCCAGAGGTGCAGGGGCGGTGAGAGGCTTCATTCGAGACAGAGTGGGAAGCAGAACAGGCAGACTGATGAATTGCACTGCTGAGGGGAGCAGTGTGGAGACTGGAGAAGTCTGCTGCACCATGTGGGTCAGCTCCCTGGCTCTGTAGTTCTGCACTTTAACCCGCTGTGCCACCAGGGAGGGCCCTGAAACATATTATTCAAACAGTATTTGAATAAAATATAACTGTCCAATCAGCCAACAGAAATCAATTAGTGTGATTTTTTTTTCCTGAAATAAAAAAAGTCATTTCCTACTTGAAATCTAAAGTGAGCGTCCTGGTGAAAGAGAAAAATGCAGTTTGAATAGAAATTACAATTTGATAATAATATTAATAGAGAATGCACTCCCTGAAGAGAGAGACATATCAGCAAGACGGTGAAGCTGAGTCTGTGGTCATAAGGACACTTTTATATGTAATTTTTCATTGAGGCAATACTGGTTCACATCACCGCAGATGATTCAGGAGATGAGGTTCGCACTCCCCAGGTGCGTGTTACTCCACCACCCCACCACCCAAGCCCCCAAGCCCTTTCCCAGAGATCATCCAGCTCCAGCCCACCTGCTCCCGTCCTCACTGGCCCTCCCCTCTGGGGCCTCAGTTCCACTGTACATGTCTAGGGTTTGTTTTGGTTTAGCGTTCTGTTCCTGTTGTGCCTGCACCCCACATGGGGAGCGTCCAGTGTCTGTCTCTCTCCTCCTGACTCACTTCACTCAGCATCATCCCCGCCACTACCACCCACTGTCACAAATGGCAGGAATTCATCCCAAGGGACTCTTTCTTCGTTGGAGATACGTGTGTTAGTGAGTGAGAAGTGTGGTAGAAATAGGGCCGATGACGTCCAGAAGAGAAGGCTTGGAGCAGAGGGCCAGAAGACCCCTGTCCTTGTCTTTGTTCCAGTGTTATTTTTCCGGAGGAATTCTCTGATGTTTCTTTACACAGGATAATGTACAGCTCTGCTTACGTGTGAGCTGTCAAAACAGAAAGCTGACTCACTAGGCTTCCTCTGGTAATAATGCTACAGGGTAGGGAGAGGGCACCCCTGAGCCCCCAAACCTGCCCACTCTAAATAGGTCCTGCCTTCTGCCACATCAAGATAAAACATGTTAGACCTTTCATGGAAAGGAACTTTAACACAATAAGTGTGCAATACAGAAAAGACAAAGAATATAGTTTCTAAATCAGACACCCGAAGTCACTGATCCCCTCGGGGGTAAAAGTCCACCCACAAGGGATTTGGCTCAGAGCAAGGCCATAAAGCCCATCACAAGACTAAAGCACCTTCTGGCCAGGCCCCATAGAAAAGGGTCAGAAATGGCCAGACAATCTGGGAGGAAAAGAGCAACATCAACATCAAGATAAACGCTGCCACCGTCACCTCCCACGGGTCTCTCACCCACATCTGTGTCCCCCAGTCCAGGACCAGAAGCAAATGCAGCTTCTTCACATGTCTCTGCTCCCTGGACCCCCTCAGGTCTCCTGGCTCCAGCCTGCTTCCTTCCTCTTCAGTCTCCTCCAGATTCTTCTCCTCTCTGCTTAGCTCCACTCTCCTTTGGCTGGGGCAGGGAACCTGGAGCCTCCCCTTTTCCTGGGGACCCCCCTGTTACAATAATAGAGTAATTTTCCCATCCAAATGCCCTTTCTGTCTGACTAGATGAAATGTGTGAGTCTGTGATGGATTCTGTTCCATGTTTCAAACGCTCACCTTTGGCGCTGTGTGCAATTAGGACCTGTCTACCACGAGAACTGTCACTGCCCTTTGGGAGACAGTGCCGCCTGGCTCCAGGAGATGAACTGCCCAGAAACCATTCCTCAGATTCAGAGAGATCTGGAACATTTCCCGACCGTCGACCCCGAAGTGATCGCAGCAGAAATCCCAAAAAGGTTCGGACAGAGGCAGAGCTTATGCCATTACACAGTGAAGGACAACAAGGTGCGGTTCTCGTGGGGGGTGCTTGTTTGTGGCTTTCTGGCTGTTTGGCTGCCCCCACAGCACCCCTTTATTCAAAATCGTCCTGAGGGCCTGTGGGGGTAGATCGAGCCTCTGCGAAGTCTCTGGGTGCTTTGGGACTAACAGTCTGATTCTCTTGCAGGTGTATGTCGTGACTCATGGTGAGCATGTAGGTTTCCGAATCTTCATGGATGCCATACTGCTTTCTCTG